TCCTATTATCTTTTAATTTTATTTTTCCATGAACTTTTCATGAAAAGATTCCTATTATCTTTTAATTTTATTTTTCCATGAACTTTTTGAAGTACCCTCATATAGTCATGCATTTTACTCCTCTCCAATATTCGTTCTCTCATCTAAGCACATACTAGTCTTCCATCTATTCATCAATTTACAAACATTTTCTGTATTCTTTTTCTTCAGTATCTCATTTGATTTTTAACTTTTTTGCCAATGTAGGTACATGAATGATATGGGGCTTACATTTTACTAAATATAGCAATATCCATGCATCTTTTCCTTGAATACTGACCCATCAGGGAAATGTCTGATATTAATTGAACCTTATCAAATAATTAACATGTATCAAGTATAATAGCTTTTTATTCTTTAGCTTTGTTCTTCTAATCTATCAGTTCTTATAATTCTCTCAATATCTTTTTCAGAGCAAAGATTAGGAACAAAACCCAGTGCTGGAGGTGATAAGGACTTTATCAAAAAGCAAAGGGATCTATAAAAGACATACTTTTACCTCTACCTTGCCTGATCTCAGAACCACTTTAAGTATTTTCTGCCCATTTCATAGCCATTATTTTATTTCTACTACTCCTAACAATGTACACATATCTCTAACAGGTGTACGTGATAGAAATATTTTGTTGTCTTACCAATTAACTTTATTCTGTCTAAATGTCCTTTTAAAACTTATCATATCAGATTTATCTTTTAGAATTTAAATTCCTAAATGTATATATACTCAGAATCTGGAGACCTGGGATACTGTCTTAGATGATAAGATGATAGCAACAGCCTTTGTAATATCCTTAAAAAAAAAAAAAAAAGAAGCTACTGTATAATGTTTTCTTCAGGTCTTTCAGCCTTGCCACAGAATGACTGTATAGGAAGTACTGTATCTATGAAATTATCTTTGTATACTACCTAGTACACAAAGTGGGCACTTCACTGTTAAGTGTCTATTCATCCTTCAAGACTCATTTCAAGTGGCTCCTCTTTTTAGTTTTCCTTGGTCATCCTAAATAGACACAATCTTACTGCTCTGAACATTACAGAAGTCATTGTCTATATTATACACATGAGGCTTATATACCATATTGTATCATGGTTATTTAAACTTATATGCTATAACTGCTATCTGACTATAAGGTCCTAGAAGGCATATTCATCTCTGTAGTCTCTTATAGTGCCTTGTTTTTTTTTTTTTCCTTTTTGTCTTTTTTCGTGACAGGCAACGGATCGCAACCCTCAGTGTTGCGCCCGTACCGGACCGGGACCGGCATCAGGATCGCAACCCTTGGTGTTGCTCCCGCACCTTGCTCAGCCAGTGAGTGGCCGGTCTGTATGTGGGATCCGAACCCTTGCCGGGAGCGCCGCCGTGCTTCCCAAGCGGCGCACTGTAGCAGTGCACCACTGGGCCGGCCCTAGTGCCTTGTTTTGATATGAGTTTAATATACTTTTATTAAACTGGCTGAACTGTTTTTCTAAACATATGACCAGGAGAAGCTTTACACATCAATATAGATATAACTATCCTCATTTGTAATTTTTTTCAGGGGGAGGGAATAGAAAAGGATTTAGGTAAACTAAGCAGCAATAATAAGGAGTTTTCTTGGGGATCTTAGAAACTAAGCAATCGAAGTGAACTTGGGAGCATAAGCTGAGCCAGAACTGCCACTTTTCCTAATCCTACTGGATGACCTTATATGTATGTAAAGTGTAGAAAAGGAATGGGTATTTAGAGGATAAGTGGGAAGTAAAAAGTTGGGGGTAAAGAATTATTGCTATGACAAGATTTGGGTATAGATTCTGCTAGTGTGAAGGCCACTTTCTTGAAACATCTAAATCTTCCACTTTTAGCTTGGACCCTACTTCTTATCCAATAGCTATGCAATTACACAGAATATCTGCATCTCTGTTTTAATTAACTTTTCATGAAATTCAAGGGGCTCACACCAGAAGACTCTCTTAAGTGATATCTGCTTAACTAATTTACTATGCTTATAAGAGCTGATTGTGTTAGATCTTAAACCTGTTTGTTTCAGTTACACTTGTTATTGTAATTACATGATTCGATTAAATATTACATAAAAAGATAAAATATGAGTAGGAAATGAGAGTCGTTTCTATGAAAACCAGGTTGAATGCTTTGGAAAGCTCAGTATAAGAGGTGTTAAAAATGCTGTTACTTAATAAGTAAGCCAATTAAGAAAGACTAGGAAGAAATAATAAAAATCAATAAGGATTATACAATTACATTGCTTCATGTGTCTAGTCTGACTCCTCTTTAAAAAAATCAAGACTGGAAATCTGTCTTTAAAGAAACCAAGATTATAGGTATGGTTTATGCAACAAAGAGAAGGGACTCCAATCAGTGGACTATTGTTTAAAAATAAAACAATGACCCTATATCGCAAGAGTGGTGAATCAATGTAAAGTACATGTTTACAAAGTTTAAGGTTGTTTATATAATTTTTTACACGTAGGGCTTTAGCAGAGCTCTTTTTTGACCACTGTACCAATTGCCAATACAGATTGCTTCAGGTTACAAGGACTTCTAAATTTCATAAATATCTTATTTAAGACCTCATAGAAGTGACACAAAAACTTCAGTGTTGTAGAGACAGCACATGTATCTACATTATACAATTTTATGAAGGATAAATTACTACAAAGGTCATTAGCAGGCTGAAAAAAAATGCTGAGAAAAATCTAATTCTGACAGCAACTATTCAGTATTGTTTTGCTGATGTCTTTCATAAGCTATATGTTTACTAATCTAAAATACTTTCACTATTACAATTTGTGTCAGTTTATTTTGTTACATTTTGACAATGACCACCAGAAAAACTAATCTTATGTCCCCATAGCAGAAATAAAATATCAAATATTTGCTTTAAAAAAGGAAATTCATCTTATTTTTCTTCTTTTTTTTTTTTAAAAAAAAAAACCTCTAACTGCTTTCTACCTTCCGTCTTTATTTTTCTTCTTAGAATGCATTTATCAGAGAGAAATAATTGGAACAAAATTTAAAAGATAGATTTATAAAGTTCTTGAATGCCTAATGCCGAACATCTCAAAACTGAAAGGCAACTGTACCACCAAATAAGTAAAAAGTTTAAAATTAAAAATAATCAAACAGTTTAAGAAATTAAGAGTTCCTAAGGAAACTAAAAAGGTTTTGTAAAATTCTTTATTTTTGTATATTTTCTACAAATTTATGATGAGGCAAAACAATTTCTTAATCTGTTAGGTCTAGATACCACAGGCAGGTAATTTAAAAGAATAAATTATAAATCAAGCCATTATAACATGCTGATTCTAGTTTGGTAAACCACCCTGTATGCTAACCAAGAAATATGTTAATTTTATCAAATAAACTTTATTTCAAATTACTTAAATTAAAATTACAAATAAGTGTTTAAGACTGTTTAAGATGGACATTTTATATGACATTCCATTCATACTGCCTCGTGACTACATTTTAAAATTCATCTATACTGTGGTTTGCCTATTGAACAGATTTGAAAGTTGGCAAAAAATAATCAGTCTTTCAAAACATAAGAGATTCTGTCCTAAACATTTTTTTTGTCACAACTCTTCATAAACACACTGGTATAATAAATATTCTTTCACCCTCTCTTATTAAGTCTTATATTCATAGCACATAAGCATTGTGAGTTTGTTTTTTCCCCCCTAAATAAGCAATACAACATTTAAACAACTTAAAAACAATGCTTTAAAATCACCAAAATCCTTAAGTTTTTCCTCAAATAACTGTAAACAAAATATAAGATTTTGCAGGCAATAACTATTAAGATGAACTATTTTGACAGAAAAGCTGGTAAAGAATTTCTCAAAAGCTATAAAGAAGCACGCTAGTAATTTTTAGTTCATTTTCCCTTGAAATATAAAATCTTCATTATAAAAGAAAAAAATTCAAAAGTTGGAGTCATTAGCTTCCTTAAACGGTTAGGAAAAACAAACCTGATATATGAATATAAAGCAGTAGAACTGGGTACAAATTATCTCACTTAAGGATTTATATCTTAAGGGTTTATAAGCCCTTATTTTCTAAAATGAAACATTTCTCCCCCAAAATTACACTCTCAAAGAACCTCAAAATTTGTACATCAAAAAGTATCATATTTACTTTCAAATATTATGTTTATGTGTTGGAAATTTTCTAATTAGATACAATAATTAAAATCAGCAAAGCAACAATTTAATAAAACATGCTTTGGTATGCTAAATGTAAAAAAAGAAAAACAACAAGAAACTGCCATATAACTATGATATGTGCCCACATTTTATTGTTTGATCAAAACTAAGTAGAAAGAGAAACTTTGATTACCAGCAGTATAAGACAAAATTCTGCACTCCTCTTAAAGTGGCAAATAAAATGGAAAGAAAATATATTTTTGCATAATTATACAGATGCTCACATAAAGGGTTTTTTTACACTACGTACTTAAATGCTATTAAAATAACGAGTGACAATTGGGCTGACCAGTTAGTTCAGTTGGTTATAACACACGAAGTTCCAAGGTCAAGTGTTCAGATCCCCATACTGCCCAGCCATCAAAAAAAATAAATAAATAATAATAATAATAATGGGTGACAAGCTACTTGAATCCTGTTCTTTTTTACTGGTTATGCCTTTAATGATAACAGGATTAAATTTTTATTGCTTTTATGTCTATCCTAAAAATAGTATTTTTTTTCCTTTTTCCAACATCTCGGAATTCTAAGGTGTTCTAAAAGCATAGAGACAATTATAGGAATAGATACCTAAATAATCCTAGAATTATTCTAAATTAGGTTTAACTTATAAAAATACAATACAATTCAATTCAATCAACATCATTATGAACTATCCACTGCATAGCAGCATTTACGTTGCAGACATGGACATAAATTATTTCATGAATAATGAAAAATAAAAGCCCCTAGTATTATATGAAAGAGATACATTTTACCTGGATTAGATGAGGCAATGCTTTTAGTGTAAGGCAAAACCAAATTCCCAGCTTGCATGGAAGCAAATCATGCCATTGTGGTTTCATCAGCAATCTTAAAGGGAGGGTGGGGGAGGGGAATCAAATAACAAATCAGTAAAACATGGAAAGTTGGGAGACAAAATATTTTTATAAAGATCATGAATTCTTTCTTGAATGGCTATTTCAACAAAAAATGAAGAAAATATTCAATGAACTATTTATGACAGTTACCACTTAATCTGATGTACTCTATCATGAAATGTAGTAGTTACAACAAATGTAATATATATAGCAAGTAAGAGAATCTAGGCTAAGATTTTGGGGAAGGAGGCTTCTAATCAAGTTATAAAAATAGAGAAACAAAAGCCTCCTTTCTAACCTGGGCTTTTCATCACTTCTGCAAAATGAATTCTTAAACCTTATGATTTACTTCAGCTATAAAAGACTGATCATAGTCAAACTGTTCCCAAGTGTTGACAATCAGATATAAAGACTGTAACATAAACAAACTAATACATAAAAATTAATGTCATTTGCAGTTCACTGAAGCATTACTCACTGATGTCATCAGAATAGAAGACAGGCAGAACAGTCTCTGATCTCCATCCTACATTTATCCAGCTCTTGTCCTGCTGTGTGAACTATTTAAACCCTTTATTTCTTTCTATGAATCAATAGAAGAAATGGTGGTATCTTTTTGAGTGTACTGCATATCACTGCCCCTCTACATATTATCACTCCTGAGCTAAGTGATAGATTCTTCTAGGAATATTTTGTTTCTAAAGTTCAGCAAAAATTTCAAACTACAAGAATTTGAGAGTTTATATTATTTAAAAATATGAGAGTACTTCAAAAACTTCACAGAAAGATTTGTATTTTCTTCTAATTCCATTTTTGCATGTATTTTTTGAGGTACCCTTGTACGTTAACACTTTTTATAAGGGAAAAAGCCTGTAGAAATTTTGCTTAAGATTAGAATTAGTCTCATAAACTATGGCCCATTAGTCATTTATAAATCTGCTATAGATTTAAATGAGAGCATATCTAAATGGATATACATATGAAGCTGAAACATATTAAAAACATATTTTAAAAGTTTCAAAGTATAAAATTTTTTATACGCTCTCACCTTTCATTTTTTTCTGAAGGACCAAGTTTTGATACATCCACACTCTTGCCTCCTGTCTTTTTTTTCTTTTCTCTCTTTTTTCTACTAAGCAGTTCATCCTTAATGTGGAAAGAATTATGGTTACGAGTTATCATTAACATGTACTCTTCAAATGTTATCAAGACTTTTCTGTGAAGGGTAAACATTACAGATGAACATTTATGCAAATGTATGTAGGGTCCAACATGATTAAGTAAAATCATCAATCTTTCACAGTAAGTGTTGCCATGGTATCCAGGCCTTCAACATACATGAAGTTCAGCACTGTCAGTCATGTGCATCTCCATAGCAATCAAAGTTTTCTAAGAGAAAGCATTCAACTTACTTTTTCTCATTCATCGGACTTTAATAATGTCACTTCAAAAGGAATAAGTAAACAGATGCTAATTCATGAATTCTAATAAATATGTCTGATTATCTTTAGCTTATAAATAAAAACCTATAGCAGAATACACTATAGAGTAGCATATTAAACCAAGAAAACTATAATTTTTTAACCAACTGATTATTCATTTCAAAGCTTATTTATTTAGTCAAAACATTTTAAAAGTAAACATTCATTATGTAAGGGCCTGTGACATAAAAAATTTCTAAAATCAGTCTCACATAAAAAATATTTCTATTTGGAAGGCAATAATAAAGAAAACATGGCTTTAACTTCTAATTTTCAGGTAGATATTTGGGCCTTTGTAAAGTTTTATGACAAACTTAAGTGCCTTTTTTTAAAAAGAAGGATATTTTCTTCTTATTTCTTGGGTTCTTCTTGACAGAAATATATCAAACACTAAATATTGAATAGAAAACTATTAGAATGAGGAGTATAGATAGAAAAACTGAAATTTTCATCAGTTGAAAAATAAATGTGTGAAATAAAATTAAGGAGGCTAGATCATTCGATTTATTACCAATACTTACCAGCTGTTTTTCCAGGTAGATTGACCAAACCACAGCATAATGACCCACTGTGAGAATAATGAACAAGAGTAATGCCAGCTCAGCATTGCTCATTTTTCTCACCCGCCTGTAGTAGAATACAGGCTGTCGCCAATCTGGAAGTCCATTGATCAGAATATCATCATACCTACAGTAGCAAATATAACAGTTGTTCATGGAGAGTTTAAAATAAAAACAAAAAATCTTATTTGTGCCTATATTTAAAATTAAGAGAAATGAATTTCTCCAAAATCGATAAGATTTATGAAGATTACCAGCATTACAATGTCTAATAAATTCAAAGCACTGTATGTAGCTCTTGTCACTGACAACCTTCACATTTTTTAATATACTGTGGATACCAGATCTTGTGTTTTTACAGGACTCGATGTGACTCCTGAAATGACCTCTAAACTAAAGGAGCTACATTTTACCTGTCTACTACTGTCTATAGTAAGGACCCTACAATAGATGTCAGCAACAAAAGAAAGGATCTCAATAAGAGAAAAATCAAGATAAGAGCTATTTTTTTTAACCATGAATTACATATTAATTGAATCAAAATCAGGATAAAATTTTCAATCAGTTCTTTTTTTCCTACCCCCATAAAATGGTGGTTCATGTATAAAGGTTGAAATATTTATACACATTATTTTATTAAGGCTTTTTAATGAGGTAAAACTTATAAAATAAGCACCTTTTAATTTTGTATTGCTCACACTCCTTCAGAAAACCAAAAAACACCCACGTTAGAAAGAGATATGGAAAAAACCAATGTTTATGTCAGATTTCTCAATAAAACTGTTTATTTGTAAACATTTAGGTGGCAATTTCCTCATTTTTGGCTTTTGCTGGAAGGGAAGAACACTAACATGGAAAAGCTTTCCTAGTAATGCATTTTAAATCAGCTTTCTTGGTTCTATCAGGCTAAAAAAGTCACTTTAAAATAATATTTCAACTGAATTTAAATTTACCTGATAGTTACTGAGGGAAATATTATTAAGGTTAAAAATAAGCGGTAACATTTATGACTATAAAACTCAAAATGGTCACACACGAACACTGTATGTTCAACACACACAACCTGTTAATCTTAATTGAACACAACTCATTAAATATTCTAATCACACTATTTCCAGAATTAAATCTTCACTGAAAGGCCTAATTTGGTGCAACACATTGACCAAAATATTTTAATTAAAAATATTCTGAGTTAGTCGCAGGCCTAATTACAGGAATAGAAATAGGGCCTATATTGTCAGGCAGGTCAGTAGAACTCAGTAGTAGGTTTTTCTCAAGTAAATTGACCGATCTAAGAATAATAGCGCAGCTGCTAAACTGCCAGTCTTGACATGTAAATCAATTTAAATGCAACAACTGCAGTAGCTACTTTGATAGTTATTAAATTGATACCTTGGAGATATGCTTAAAAAAATAAAGCAGAGGATTCATTGCAGGAGACTTCTTTTTTCAATAGAAAAACATTGGTTATAAATGCAAAATATATTTTATTAGCAAACTAGAAAACCTGACTTTCTGATCAACTTAGATTATTAACAATACTATCAGAACAGAATAAGCAATTTTGAAGGCAAAGGACACTAATTAGTACTAAACCCTTAAAAGGCAAATTGTGTAATATACAAGAGTCTACAAATTAAAATATAGTTGTGTAATAGCTGGGAAGGCAAAATTTAACGTTAAATATTCTCCTTTTCAATATTTATAGCAATTAATGAATATTAACATCAAGATTTATAACATGACTTCAAAGGCAAATTGTGTAATATACAAGAGTCTACAAATTAAAATATAGTTGTGTAATAGCTGGGACAGGCAAAATTTAACGTTAAATATTCTCCTTTTCAATATTTATAGCAATTAATGAATATTAACATCAAGATTTATAACATGACTTCCTAAAAAACTATCATTCCTGTCCTCAAAAATTTATGTTTAAATCTTTCTTGTAAAAACTGGCTCATTAATTTAAAACTAGAAATGGATAAAAAAAAAAAAAAAAAAAAAAAAGGGAAATGGATAAGTAAAAAGGCTTCAACTGGTATAACACAAAATTACAGCATTTGAATGAAGCCCAATGAATATTAAATCCTAAATCTATTTTAAATCCATATTCTACTTCAGATTTGTTGAGAAAAAGAAGGTGAATATAAAACCATTATTTTCAGCAAATCTCTCCCATGAAATAACTTAATGTAAAAACTATTATCTAAGAACATGGAGACAATTCTCTAATTGTCTAATAAAACATATTAAATATGTTTTAGATCTAAACTGTATCCTGGAAGACAACATATTTGAACTCATATCGAAGAATCTCATATCAAACATTTTATCACCATCACTGCAAAAATGCTAAGCATCTGTTAATAGCTTATTGTGTTCAACCCCATATATAAATTGTATTTAGTGAGCAACCAAATTCGAGATAGTGAAACCTCATGCACTGAATCCGTTAAACACAACTAGATATTTACCAGGCTACCTCTGCCAATCTAAACAACAGTCTCCAAGGATTAAGCTTACAATCAATGCTCTATTGATTTTACTATCAATGAACATTATGGCTCACACGACTGGCCATTTTAAGGGAAGATAGCTTCTATTATAGTTCACTTTTTACAATATATGCTATTAAAAGATAAATCATGGCTTTCCTAATGAAACATTGAAAAAACAAATACATTTCTTAAAATATACACAGATACTATTTTCATAAGCCATTTAAGAAAAAACATTGTGTTGACAACACATAAAATTTAAAGCATCACTTTACTATGCTTTTTCTGTATTTAAACATAACACTGCTAAAATGCTCTGTAATTGAGACTCATACAAATTGTTCTTAAATATATATATATATATATATGCGCACATACATATATGTATTTTTGTATGTATATGCCAAAAATTGTGGTACACAGCACTTTATACATTGTACATAACAGATGTCTTATATCTCCTAATTGGGGAAGGTGATAAAATAGACTTCTTGCTCTCAAATCAATGTTTATTTTGACTCAAAAATGCCTGTAATCAAATTTGCAATAACTAGGTAATTTTAAGTTTAGCATATTAAGGCTGAGATAACCATACTTTTAACTGCATTTGTAATAAAACACAATTTTATTTCATAAACTAAAAAATACATTCAACTTTTATAAATATAGAAACATACAATAGCCAAAAAATAAGTTGCCCAATTGGGTTAGCAAAAGACTACTGGTTAGAAATTTATATAATAAATTTTAAGCAAAAGTAAATATGTTAATATTACTAAAACACAATCTAGTATATGTATGTAATGACTGGTACTCATTACTTTAGTTGAGCTAACACTCAGGGCTCTCATATAAAATTTTATGTTGAAAAAAAAACCAAAAAAAAAAAAAAAAAAAAAAAAAAAAAAAAAAAAGAAAAAAAAATTTATCCTGGGCTACCATTCCCCAAAATAAACAAGTTAGCTAAGAAGTTTAGAAAGGCTGCTATGCTAGGATTCCTTACACTAACTAGGAAAACCTGCTACAGATTATTTCCATGCTATAGTCTGTGCCTTTGAGGGGGAAGGCTTAAAAGCTTATTCATAATTGCACTCCTAGGAATCTACTCAAGTGAAATAAAAATGTATGTCCACACGAAGATTTATAATGTTCATAGGAGCATTGCTCATCATAGCCAAAAAGGGGAAACAACCCCCATGTCCAACAACTGATGAACAGATAAACAAAAGTGGTATATATATCTATACAATGGAATACTATTCGGCAATAAAAAAAGAATAAACTCCTGCTATATGATACAATATGGATGAATCTCAAAAACATTACGTTAATAAAAAGAAGCCAGATGCAAAAGACTATATATTACCTGATTCCCTTTGCATGAAATGTCCAGAAAAGACAAATTTATAGACATATAAAGTAGATCAGTGATTGCCTGGGGTTGGGGACCAGAGTGGGGACTGCCTATAAATGGGCTTGAGAGAATTTTTTTAAGTAATGTGTTCTAAAACTGGATTGTGGTGATGGTTTCCAAACTCTAAATTTACTAAAATCATTAAATTCTACACTTAAACCAGGTGACTTTTATGGTATGCAAATTATACCTAAATAAGGTTGTTAAAAAATAAAATAAAACTTTCCTTTCCTTTTAAAAAAGAGAGTTACCTAGATTGTTAACTATTTCATTGACATTCCCTTTTCCACCTAAATTTAAAGAATGCATCTGATTTCAGTGAAAAAACAATTTTATCTAAGGGAAGTAAATAGGAAACATCTCTATGACAATTTTCCAAACTGCAAATTACTGTAAGGTTACACATTTAAAAGCACTTATTCAATGAGTATTTATAATAAATAACTGTAATACCCAAAAGCATAACTGTGCTCTTTTCTTTTTTTTTTTTTTTTCCTTAAAGAATTATACACATTAGGTAATTGTCTGAAGGGGTGTCTTTCTCCTATGTGTTTAAATACTCATAGGTCACCTGGCCTCAGGCGCAAGCTTTAGAGAAGTGATTCTCAGCTTGATTAGTTGAGACTTTTGCCTCAAGGAAAACCAGTTACCAAAGAGTTACTATGCCTTGGGGGTATAAATACTACAGCTGTTTGTGTAACTGTCAGATCCATTTTTTCTACCAACAGCTCTAAAATAAATGCAGAGGGAACAAATCCTAAACAGATTACATTAAATGAAACTATGTTACTGAAGAAACAATTTATACATAAAAAATGATTGTTCTGAAAAGATAGAAATAATTTCAGTAATTAAAAGAATTTTTTACAAAGTTTTCTGACTTTTAAGAAAAACAAGAAACAAAAAGACAAAATGTGACACCAAAAAGGTTGGAAGACTAAATGAAACTATCTTTACAGACACATTGTTGATGTATGAAGCAAAACTAGGGGCTCACTGAGAGAAACCAACTAGAAAATATGCACAAAATGACCAATACTTCTTTCAACACAGTTATAGTACTCTTTCAACACTATGGATTATCTCAAACCAGAGGAATGTCTGCTATGGTGTCTGGACTAATGCCAGCCCTTGTTATAAAGCAAAGAACACTTCAAGAGACTATCCTGAATCCTTGCTTTACAATATGACAAACTGAGGTATTCAAATTAAAGAGTTAAGATGAGAACCAAGAGTGGTAGCTAACATTTTAGGATAATTCCAGATAATACATTTGAAGAAAGATTCAGAATGTCACGTAGCATAATTTTGGTGATTGTCTTTACGATGTATTAGTTCCCATAGAGAGATACAGATATTTAGGCTGTCCTTAGCTTAAATCTCAAACACCTACTTTTTGTTTTGATATTAAAGGTAACCTTTCACAGTAGAGCAAGATTTTCAAATTTTGGACTGTGACCCATTAGAGAGTCTCATGAAATCACTTTAATGGAACACAACCAGCATTGTTTAGAAGGAAAAAAAAAAAAAAAGACTAGTCTAGACTAGCCTAGAATTGAAAAACAGTCTGTTTCACAAGCAAAAAAAAAGTGTTTTGTGAAACTTTTGTTTCACTTGTGTGTTTGTGTCCCGAGGCATAATGCAAAATGTATTCCGAGGCATAATGCAAAATGTATTTCTTACTGTCGTCTGACTTAAAAAACTTTAAAGCCCACATTAATAGTGTCTACATTCCACACATTCTGTAGAAGTAGAGAAAAGGGGCCTCTCTGCAATCTCCTCTTAAGTCTCTGGCATTATAAACCACTATATTAATATATTACTACTCTTCTAAAAGGGGCACAGAGAAGTCTTAGAGCAAGAGTCTGCCTCCTCCACTCTTGAAGCTTAACCCTAAAAGCAGAATCGGTGGAGCAGAGTAAGAAATGAGGAGGCAAAAGAAATAGGAGAAAGAGGTAAATATTTCTCTTCCACTCCTATCTTCTACAGGCTTATACAAACTTATGTAATTGGGTTATTAGTTTGACAGTGAGAAAGGGTACTAAGCTGACTATCGTTAACAGGGGGAAAAAGAAAGGAAAAAAAAGACCGCTAAGCCCAGATAGGAGCTATTACTGATACATCCAAAAGAATAGATATTTATTTGAAGTCAAGTAGTATTTCTCAGGGCATAAAGACACGTTAAAAATCTTATCTAATGAAGCAAGGACTTGCTAACATTATGACTCATGATCCTAAAGTCTGTAAGTATTGAATCAATAGAAATTAACTTTTCTCTAAACATACATTTTTAAAACACTGCATTTCTTGGAAAGAACAATAATAAAATACTAACTTATAATAAATAAAATGTTTACTAAGACTTAATTTTTTCCTTTATAAACTGTAGCATGAAACTATAACATCTTAATTGAAAAGCAGAAATGAACACTCACCTCTGCCTTCGTTCACCATCCTTTAAAACTTCATAAATGGCCACCAACTAAAATAGAAGCATTACTTTAAAATGAAATACTCACAACTATAAGAAATCATGTAGGAGGGAGAAGGCACCATAACACACATGGAGAAAACCATATGTGCCTGTATATACAATAAACATAAAATCTTTTAATTATAAGTAACATTTTATGTTTTTGGTAGTACCTTAAGAGGTTAAAAAAATGCTTGATACCAGAATGAATCTTTGTGAAAGATGCCAAAGCAACAGTTATCTTAAAATGTGTTTTTTAAAAGTGAAAGCTGTAACTCAGATAAGAAAATTATGACAATTAAAAAACCCTCCAAGAATTTAGAGATGCTAATAATACAAAATGTTGGTAAAAATATATTATGTAAAAAATTGAATAAAAATATATACATTATATTTCTAAACTACAACCTCATTCTCAAGGGAAATATTCTAAATATAAGTTAATATTTCTACCATAAACATATTTGTTAATACATTTGCCACAAAATATATATAATAGCATGTTTCACTTACTTGTCTAAACTGAGTTTCTGCATTTTCATCTTTATTCTTGTCTGGATGTAAAGTTAGTGAAAGCTTACGATATGCTTTTCTGATGTCTGCAGATGAAGCATCCTGGAGGTGGCGGGGGAGGGGGGAAATACAAAGCAAACTTTGTCAGAAAAAGAAATTCCCAGAACCTTGTTAAGATCTGAGAAGACAGCCAACCAAGTGCAGGACCCCAGGCAATGTAATTTGAGCAATCAGTCTAACAACCAGGCTATGCAACCAGCCTGACCCACATGACTGAACAATTATTCAATCTAATTTGGCTCTCCTCTTAACTTTTCACTACCATACAGTCATTTAAAGAAGACAGTATTTGGCAAAACTTTTCAAACACTTGCCTTCCTAAATTTAACTAATAAATCTTTTTCAGTAATTAAGAGATCAAAAAGAAACAAATTAAAAATTAATACAACTGTGTGCCTTCAAAGAAGGTCTTTATTTATTTGAGAATCTTAAAGCCAATTTCTGAATCCCAGGCTTACCATACGTGGTTTCTTTAGAGTTATTTATGTTGAATTTGCCATCCAGCAACAATCTATGGAATCTCAATTTCACATATTAAAAAGTATGCCTATTTGGAGGCAGTTAAATTTGCATTTATCTAAAATAATTACAATTAGAAATAGTTATGTATGTTCTGAAAAAATGCACATAAAATGTTTCTTTTTAATACTTTAAAGGGTGCTTTCAATGTTGTCCAGTTTCCCCAGTCTGGTTAGGAGAAATAAATTTGCCCACTATTTACGTATTAGTAATATAGTTTAAATATATTTAAGAGGTCACTATGGTTCAGTACTTCAGATTAAGTAGATGTTAAAATTACATCTTACGGAATCATGCATACATGGGTAAAATCAGAGAACATCATTCTACATGGCCAAGATAAAATGCATGATGATAACAAAGAACACACTGTCAAGCTGGAGTTGAACACTTTATCTTCCCTAAATTCAAAAGACATTCTAATAACATATTCATGTTGGGGCAAAATGATACTAAAGTTGTTTATATTAGATTTCGTCTCTAGTTTGCTAGCTATTTGTCCAATTAACTCCTAAAATTATGTTACTAAAAAGTTCAAATGACTAAAAAATCCAAACAACACAAAATCTGTATACCTGGGACTAAACAGTTGTTAATGAAATAGTATTGGAAAGAGACAAACTAAGACTATAATTGGCCTGTCAAGCTTTTGCTTTAAAAACCATTATTTTCATTACCAGTTTTTTTGGGCTTTTTACTCCAGGCTAATATGCTACCCTAGGTATGACTATTTTTGAGATTTGTGGACAACTGAGGAACTTAATAAAATTAGCAGAGTAAGTTTTTCAGATAATATGGCTGTAATTCTCATTCTGATTTGCTTAAGGAAATTGATGTGTTCTCTACATTACACATTACTATAGGTAACGTGGTAGAAAAGGATGATTATTTAATGGAAATCTGTGATGAATCCTTTTGTTGAGCAAAGAGGGCAAGTGTCAAATAACCATTCTCTAAGTGGGATTTTAATTTTAGATTTTATTAAATTGAGACTGTATCATTGACAAAATTATTCCAAAATTAGACTTCTTACAAAATAAGAGTGTATGTATTTTCTTCCATTACAAAATTAATACATGCTAATTATGGAGTATGTATGAATTACTTAAAAACAAAAATGACTGAGCCTCTGCTTCTTGACATGCTAACCCAAATCCTCCATTTTTTTCCCACACTGTGTACCCCAAATGTAAATGTGGCCAGATGGCTCTCATATTTCAACCCTTCAGAAGCTCCCAAGGGCCTCCATCATTTGTGTTTTCCAATCTTTTTAGCCTTCTCTATAACCACCTTGGCTCATCCTGCCGGTCCTCTAGATCATTGCACTTCAGGTTGCAGTTTGCCAACCTCAAGTTGTTTTTCACCCAGCTACAGATACAGACAGTTCTCTCCTGACTAAGGAACAGGCCTCTCACACTACACACAAATACTGCCTCTTTTCCTCTTGAGAATCTACCCAGTAGAGTTATTTCATCAATAAGTTATTTCATCCACCTTAAGTGGATGCAGCTGAAAAATCTGGAGATTTTTTCTGTCTACAAAGACATGTTCTGGACAAGATGTAACTCAAACTAGCTTATATACTTATTTTATTTGAAGTACTTAATAAATCTTATTTTATACTCATAACAAACCCATGATGTAAGTACAGTTATTATCAGGCCCATTTTACTGATGAAGCAATTGAGGCAGAGAAACAATAAGTAACTTGCTCAAGTTGATACTGCTGGCACATAGATGAAAATAGAATTCAAACCCAGAAAATGTTGCTTCAGAATTAGAACTCTCTGTGTTAGCTGCTTAGCTTCAGATTTGGGCTAACTTCATAGGGGGCTCCAGCTTTGGGAAGGCAGTGAGAACATCTATTACATTCTTGTCGATCTGATAAATTATATGGGACAAGTGTACACAACTACAATATGAATATGCCCAACTGGAATTTTATACTTGATCTTAGCTAAAAGGCTGAGAACTGATCAACTGAAGTTTTAAAGGTAAAGACCCTGATATGTACTGGCTTCTCGAATGCATTTTACACCACAGTTCTATTAGAGACATAAATATTTGGACATTCATCTCCCCTATTCAGTGAATTAATTCTTTTTATCTCTGGCTTGCAGAGGAAATTTTTTGATAGGGCTAAGGGTGAACTGGCCACCTTTAGCACTTCTGACATCAGGGGTACTACTGGAAAAGAATCCTGACAAATGAATCCTTCTAAATGTGATATGGTTCTTTGGCAAACTAAATGTGAATTATGTTAACACTTGGATGATCTCTGAAAAGAAGAGATATATCATCACTCTTTAAAAAAAATCCTTAAAGTAATACGTGCTCATCAAAATTGACAATGAGATGGGATAACAGCAAAAACAACAGGGCAGGAAAATTCAAGGGTCTATCCCTCCACAGAAAGTGAAAAACCTGGCAAAAACTGTCAGAACCAACTTTATCTGAACTCTGGAAACCAATCAAAGTTTACAGCAATCAGGCAAGCACTTAATCAGTAAAAATGTTGATTCTCATTAAGGGTCTTGAAGATGCCAACCTAAGTTCTTGGCATGGGTTCCTGGTGCCAAAGGAAGCAGAGCTGACCTTATCCTAAAAGAACTGTGGTTGCTTATTTTGACCTGCCTTTTGGCTCCTTGACAGATAGTGTCAAGGGCTTGCCTTTATTTTGCCAAACTCAGAACTCTATCAGGGCAGAGAGGACATTTGTTGAAAACATTTAAAGGCAAATTTATTAGCTGGTGATGAATGGAGAAAGGGATAACAGTTGAAGCAAACAATGGATATATCAAAAAGCTTGGGAGGAAAGACTGGAGAGTACGATGCTTTGGGAAATAAGAGCTTTAAAAAGCTCCCACATATTCCTTGGAAACTAGAAGGCCATATGCATGCCCAGGGCAGAGCACATGCTCAGAAAGACCTGAGAAGGCTCCACATTCTCACCTCAGGCTGACATCCAAGCTCTGCACAAGCAGAAAATGAAGGCTAAGAAAGAGTTGTAAACTACCAAAGTGAATGTCAAAGGCATACCCCAACATATATACAGAGCACTAATAAAGACTGGGGGAAATATATATATTTCTGGTTCCAAGTATTTAAGGCAATCTCTGCCAAATAATTAGCTGACCACTAAGTTCACAGAACAGAGATTCCAGTGGGCACACAGAGCAAAGAATTTATACTCTACAAGTTAGTTAAGAAAAGTCATTAGACAAATACCACCAACCACGAATAGCAAAAAAACAAAAAACTGAAACTCTGGAGAAGTGGGAGAATCTAACTGCCACATTATGTATTAAAAGAAGTTTAGTATTCAACAAAAAATGATGAAGCATGCCAAGAAAAAAGAAAGTATGGTCACACACAGAGAAAAAAGAAATTAATAGAAACTATCCCTGAGGAAGTCCAGAAATTGGACTTAATAGACAAAGGCTTAAAATAAATTATTAAAATCACTTAAGTATGCTCAAAGAACATGCACAAAGCAATAAAGGAAAGTATGAGAATGATGTCTCATCAAATTGAGAATATCAATGAAAGACAGAAATTCTATTTATTTTTTATTTTTTCTAATGTGAAACAATGACAAAAAAAAAAAAAGGAAAGAAAAAGAAATAAAAAGAAATTTTAAAAAGGAACCAAATAAAAATTCTGGACTTGAAAAATACAATAATTGAAATGATATTTCACTAGATGGGGCTCAATGGCAGATTTGAGCAAGCAGAAGAAAGAATCAATGAGCATTAGGACAGGTCAATTAAGATTACCTGACCTGGGGAACAGAAAGAAAACTGAATGAAGAAAAATGAACAGAGCCTAAGAGACCTGTGGAACACCATTAAGAGTATCAACATACAAGTAATGAAAATCCAAGAGGGAAGTAAGAAAAAGAAAGGGGAAAAAAGAATATTTGAAGTAAAAATTTACCAAAAAACTTCCAAAATTTGATGAAAGACATGTATCTACACATCCAGGAATCTAAACAAACTTCAAGTAGGATAAAACCAAAGACAGCCACAACTAGAAACATTATACTTAAACTGCTGAATGACAAAGACAAAGAGAGAGAATCCTGAAAACAGCAAGGAAGAAGCAACTTGTTCTACGCAGGGATCCTCAATAAAATTAACAGCTAATTCCTCATCAGAAAGTACAGAGGCCAGAAGGTAGTAGAATGGCATATTCAAAGAGCCAAAAAGAAATTTGTCAATCAAGAAACCTGTATCCAACAAAACTATTCCTCAAAAATGAAAAAGAAATTAAGATATCCCAGTTAAACAAAAAAGTAAGAGTTCATCGCTAGTATACATACTCTGTAAGAAATGCTACAGGGAGCCCCTTTCAGGCTGAAAGAAAAAAAAAATACTACACAGCACAAAGAAATAAAGACACTGGTAAAGATATGCTACGGTCTGAATTTTTGTGTCCCTCCAAAATTCTTATGTTGGAATCTAATTCCCAATGTGGTGATATTAAGAGGCGGGGCCTTTTGAAGGTGATTGGGTCATGAGGGT